ACGCTGTGTACAACGAGACTAATCCGATTTGTTTTCACGCTCGTGTACCAAAGTGGGAGATTGACACTTGACAGTTGACTCTGCTGTTGGTAGAAGGTATATGTACTACGTGAGTAATAAGGCCGAGATTTTTAAGCGATGTCGCCTGAAAAATTATCTTGGCTAATGTTTGGCAAAAAAGAAATGAAAATATTTACTTTGAAACTCGTAATGTAATGATACAGTCGCTCAACATTAATTCGATATGATACACATTACGAGGCAGAAAAGAATATAACGGGCGATATCAAAGCCACGACGTTTCGAGCCTACAACTTTTTCGCATTAAATTCAATGCTCGAGTAAGCTTTTACAGAAGCCAATTAGTATAGGAAGGAAAAAAGGCAGATAAAAACAAATGGCCGTCAATAATTGCCATGATCGGTCTGTCGCGCGCCATTTATACACTCGAATCGAAAGTATAGTCGAGTTTTCCGCGATTTCACCTAAATTTCCAGGCGGTGGTGGCGGCGGTGTCGGTGGCGCATTTTACGCACGCACTGCACGAGAGCAGAGGAGAATTGTGACTTTTTAATCAGTTGTCCGTCAGCTGCGTTTTCTCTTTCTGCGTGTCGTTTGCAGCAGCGAGAGACTCGCCTTGTGTACACAGATACATAGCCACGCTAGGCATACATGTAGCGCATAGCCAGTGCACACACACGTATGTGTATATTGTATATTTGTCGACGGCGTGTGCGGCGGAATATGTGCGCATTGCCGAGAGCCGAGCGCAGTGTCAGCACTGCAGCAGTTGCAGTATGTGTGCAGCGACTGCGGCGGCAGCTCGAGTGCATTATAGATACGCGACGAGGCGGCTTTTGTTTTCGCACTTGGCTAAGCGCGATGAAAGAGTCGAGATATCTCTCTCTCTCTCTTCTGGAGACACCTATACCTAGTGCAGAGACTGCAGATAGATTATATTCCGCAGATGGAGCTGCTACTGCCATGTGTGTATGCATACATAAGCGCGAGCTTGATCATGCGAAAGAGACTCGGCGGGCCGCATTGGATTCAGTCGAGCATGTATAACGAAATATTATGCTTTTCTCGCATCTCTCGCGGCTGCTTCGAGCGCGCACGTGCGCAGCAGCTACCTATATAGCCTGCATTGCCATATTTTTTTTCCGTCCGTGCGCGCTCCAGCAGCCAAGAGCCGAACAAAGCAAAGTTTAGATTATTTATAGACTTTTATATTATTACTTATATTGTAGGCATAGGCACGCGCGCAGCCCAATGGTTGCTTCGCCTTCTACAATAATCCATATCGAGAGCGGCTTTCAAGCAGATCTTTATATAAATCGCGCCATTATTTGCTTATCAAGGTCGGCTCCGTGGAGCATGTTCGGGACCATGTACAAAAATAGCCGCTCGTTTAGTCGAATGAATAGTTCCGACGTACACTGGATGTGTGTGTATAATACACATGCTTGGTGTAATTGAAAAATCCACCAGCTACATTCCGCAATATTCGCCTACGAACACGAATGATTTTCATACACAAATATTCGAGTGCAGCGCATCGGCCTCCGATTCTTGGTAATTAGGCTGGGCGTTGTAACGACGAGCAGCCTAGGAGCTATCGTGTATACAGTCGCTGCTTATCGACGCGCCGCAGGTATGTCTACACACGCACACGCAGATAGACGCCGAGGCACGACTAAAAGACCGGAAACTGCTGTAACGCGATCAGTCCGCGCGGAAGAGCAGAGGCAGCAGCGCTGCACAGAGCTGGGCCGTATATATGTATACTGGATACCGAGCTACTCGACTGACAGCGACTGCGATAGTAGCGAGCGTTTGAATTTTTTTCAAGAGGATCGATTCGATATAATTAATGGAATGCGCGCAGTTAACGTGTCAAGTAGCCGTATAGGTGTATAAACAGCAGCAGCAGCAGCAGCCGAGAAAGACTTAACAATCACGCATCTATAAATACACACCTGTCCGCGATGGCGCAAAGTTATTCGGTGTATGTGCGTGTGGCGCGTGACGAGCAGCAGCAGCAGCAGCAGCAGCAGCAGCAGCAGCTTGACTCGCGGACGTTGGCTGTGCGTCGCGCTGCCGCATACGCCATAACACACCGATGAAATTCCTGTTAGGTGTTGCGTTCGCTCGGATTTCCATGAAAATTCGAGCACGCGCCTTCGTAGTCGCGTTACGCCATTGTTTTTTAGAGCGATTGTAATGGATGCGCGTCGAGAGGTCCACTATTATATATACATGATACATCACAGCTGGCCGACGCGGTCAATAGACGATATCAATGTGATCTAAGTACTGTGTTACGTACCCGACGTGCCTCATTTGCTCGACGCGCGGATGTGGCGAGTGTCTCTCTCGTTCACGATGTCCACTCGTCTGCGGCCTCGTCGCACACACACACTCGAAAAACACACAAGTACACGAACATCTCCACAGAGATAGACTGCTTATGTATGTGTGCTCACAATCGAACAGTGTTTTTCTATCTGTCAAAGGTTCTGCGGTGACTTTGCGTAACCGACAACGAGATCCTATCCGTTACGTTTTCTCTCTTCGATACTCGTAATTAACCGCTCGCTAAATCGAGCGGGATCATCGAATGACTTTAAGAACTAAAGGAGCGAGCTAGGTTCGCCGCCAGGCATCGGCGGCAGCAGCAGCACACGATGCAGCAGAAGAAAAAGTCGAGTTGCGAAAAAGCCTCTCTTATACGTGTAATGAGGCGAGAGAGCTAGTCGAGGCGCGCGAAAAATCGCTCGTTCCACCGCCGCAGCCGTTGCATCCGTCGTCTGTGTGTGTGTGTGTGTGTGTGTGTGTGTGTGTGACTGTGTGCTCTCTGCAACACTTTCTGCAATTGAGCCAATCAGCCTGTTTCAGTGCGCGCCAAAACGTTCCAAACGCTCCAGAGATTCGACGTTACACAGTTTGTAATGAATTGAAAAAGCCGCTGCGTTCCATCGAACAGAGCATAGGCTATCGACACTACCCCCATCGATTTTGCGTTCAGCATATCTAACGTAATTCTTCGCATAACAGAGCGATCGTTTTTTCATAAAAAGAAGCACAAAAAAAAGACGAGTACAGCATCGCTTTGAATTTTGTTCGACCGATTAACGTCGTTCACCTGCCGCAAAGTATGCACATTTATTCAGATACTCTCAACCGTTTAGTAAACATCATTACCAACGTCGATCGAATACTTCGATAATCCATGAGGTTTCGACATAGAAAAAATTAGACGAGATAAGAAACTTGGCATTATAAGCTTACTTAACGATGTCATCACTTCGAACTGATAAATTTCAAAATGGTCAATAACGTGTGTCATCGAGCTGTAGAGAGTGTACTCGTAATTTTGAATGTCAATAGCAATTAAAACACACGATAAACAGGTGCTTTTCCTATTTTATCTACTTAGAGCCTGTCGATAGTGGACAAATATAATAAATTAGTCAGCACGCCGTTTGGAAAAATTTCAAATCAAACGGCTAATTTCGAACGTTGCAGCATATCGATACACTTGTTGCAAAAGGCAGAGTAGCCTCCGTCGTCGTGAGGCGCAGTGCGCGTTCACGAAAAAATACATGTTAATTCGGAGTTCCGAGGCACGCATGCAAAGTACGCCCGAAGAAGTATACGTACATTCGCACGTCTGTGCGTTGCAGTTATTTTTGCGGCTAGCCAAACATATGCTGCACACGCAACGTAAAAATAACAGCGCGCGCAAGTAAATATTGGCACCTATTGCGAAGATGAAAGTGAACAAGACGCACGAGTAAGGAGAGGAAGGGTTGAAAGAACAAAGGAACGCGCGGCTGCGCCATCGAGAAGTGCACAAAGTTTCGGCTGGGTGGTTTGGTTAGTTAAGAGTGTGCTGCTGCTGCTGCTGTATGGAGTGTACATAAGTTATGTACTGTTCGTATGTGTGGCCGCTACTTATATGCCATATGCATGGGCTTTTTTTCGACAGCTATTCACGTACAACAGAGTACGTTCGAGGCACATGAGCTGCACAGTATCAGTTTTCAGGCATTATTGGCTTTAATTGTGCGATCGAAAGCGAGAGCGGCCATTATTAATATGCTAATCGCTGGGCATTTGGCCGGGCGCACGAGCTCTCGAGAAAGAGCAGGAGAAAAAAATTCGCGGGCCAGCGATCCAATTTATCGTTCCACCGAATACATATATACTAATGCATACGCCCGTAGCTCTTTGTCACTGCAGAGAACGAGTAGCAGTAGCAGCAGCAACGGCGCAGCTCTCGTACTTCTGATTTCGCCTTCCCAGAATTCTCGATGCAGCGCAGCGCAAATTCCTCGTAAAAATTCTGCTGTTCTCTCGCGCTCAGTCGCACGATAAAAATCGGAGTAATGAAAAATAGCAGCAGCAGCAACGGCTGCGGCCCAAAGTGCGCATCGATTTAGGTAATAAAATCATCGAACTCGAATTGATTTTTGAATTAGTGAGTTCGAAAGAGCCTCGTGAGCCGCTATAAATGCCCTCATCGAAAAGCGATAAAATTCGAGACGTACACACATTTGTACACGTCTGCGTGAGATAAATTCGAAGGACTATACGTGGAGCATTTATACACTCAAATTCGATATACGTGTAAGCTGCAAGGCGGGAAACGGTTGGCGGCCCGACGCCAGTGTAGCTCCGTTTCATTCCAACGGAAACTCGAATTCGGAAAATTTCATGGAATCTAAGAATTGCCGCTGCAGCCTCACAACGCAGCTTCGGTATTTACTTACGATATATTTGTGTATACACGCTTATACGCGAGGTGCAGTAGTCGCATTTCGTGTATCGAAAAAACTACGTACAGAACGCCATAGAAACGTGCGCTACGGGTAGCTATATGCGTTCCGCACACGAAGGAGGGGATAACGTGCAGAGAGCCTTTCGCCTGGCGCGCGCCGGCAGTACGTGTGTATGTATACGTAGAAGTGCTTCTCAGTTGCTCGGCGAGTGCGCGCCATAACGGACTGCGAAGCTACGTCGCTTTTTCTACCTACCGTGTGTGTTTCTTTTTTCTCTTTCTCTCTCTCTCTTCGAATGTCAATTGCACATACCGAGGCGTGACTTCGTTTATAAAAATGTGATTGTGTGATAACTGTGACTATCGCTCGTGCTATTATGTTTGTGCGCGTGTTTTTTTAACGAAAAGTTTATCATATAATATTATAATATATTGCCGAAGTGAGAGTGTTTAACGTGACGTTCGAAATCGAGCCGGTACGCGACGAGTAAAGCAGTGTAACATTATTGATGGTTTAAAACAGTCGTTGCGCCATGGCTTGAATGTGAAGTGATTACAATATTTATTATTTAAGTTTGAAATAACGATGGTTTCTCGACTCATGTGCGGGAAATCGAGTGCATTAGATTGATTCGAACACGCTGAAATCGAATCAGCATCATCGATTAAAAGGACGAACTGTGCCTGCCAAGATGATGACCCCGCAGGTCGTGGGCGTATTGAGAAAGCAGCCCGGCGCTAAGAACACACCTCACAATCCGAACGCCGGCAGGATGCCAGTCGTCGATCCGCAGGAAACGAAAATTCGAGGTACGTTTCTGATTTGCAATTTCTCAATCGCGCAAAAACAACGATTCTCGGTTTTTTATTGTTATCGAATCGTCACTCGATAGCAAATACAAGCTGCGTTATTTAACGTGAAAGTGTTATAATGATTGTTTCGAAGCGCGAGTGATAGTAAACAATGCGTGAATCAGAAATATCCATTCACCGGTTTTCTTGACGTCTGAGTCTTGTTTGTATGTCTGCGTATCGTGCCTATATAATGCTCTTATATGTGTAGTGTGTTACACGCCAGCGCAATGTGTCTGTTCATGTATTCATACAGTTTACCTACATGAGCGCGCGTCGAGACTGGTGGGAGCTGATTTGATAGCGGCCGTATTTTACGAGTTTGATATACTTTCTTTGACAAACAAAAAAATTAATTGATTATTTACATTTTAACGCCTACGCGATACCGGGCGCAGGTTCGATTTTTCATCTACGCGTGGCAAAAGCCGGAAAAGTAGAATAATTAAGATTTTTGAATATGTTTTCTCAGAAAAGCCAGTAAATAAAATCGTACTTGTAAATAACAACTTTTCAGAGAAATCAGTATTAGGCTCGTTTGATGATATCATAAAAATATGTTAGTCAAACTTTCTAAAGGCCAATAATATGATAAATGTATATATTTCTCGGCGAGATACGCATTTGAATATTACTTCATTCGAACATCAACGGAGATTGACACCTGTATTAATATTCAATTTTATTACATACAGCGTTTTTCCCTCATTAATACGAACGTGTATATTTTTACTTTATATCTGGGTAGATCAGATCAGTGCGTTGTCGATGTGCATCAACACTTTCTCGAATATTAAAAGTATACAGATAGGCTCTATAAAGAACCGTACGAATGATTTTTTTACACTCCATTTAAAGTCACAGGCATCATATCTCGCTTCCTACAGATTGAAAACAAACATTGCTGTATTTACAAACAAACACTTCAATTCATTCATCGATTGTTTTATTCGAAGCGCCCAGTCAACTCCTGTACCAATTCATCGGTATATTTTTTTACAATTTTTTCAAAGTTTCCGCCCGCTACTTATTTTTCAAACAAATGAGCATGGGATACTCTGTTGTTTCTTTAAATGTATAATACGATGATGTATTGAACGACGGTAGAGCGTGTAGTGCAGCGAGCATGATATAAGCGACGCACGTTACGATTGTAATTGCAGACTCGCGTCGTTCGCAAGCGTATCTAGCATAAAAGATGATAATTCATTTTTTTTTCCTTTTTTTTGCCAAGAGATGAGTCGGTAGTGCGTTGGAAGGTCGTTCATCGCCGCTAGTATTTAGTTCGTGCCATTGTTGCTCGTTATTTTTCTCGCGAAACCTTTCGCACGGATGCATCTTTTACGTATATTATTATTGCGCATGCTACACAATGCGGCGGGAGCGTGCGTTTGCCCTTCACGTAACCTATAACATTTTCCTCGATGCTCGTATCGCTGCAAATTTGAATATTTTTCAAGACTCGATAGCCTCGGCTGGATAATTTTTCTGAGCTCTCGCGGAAGTGCAATTACGAAAAATCGATGATAAAAATCGGCCTTTGACACGATCTCTGTCGGACGCCGGCATAAAAGTTTTATTATTATTTATACGTCATTATGGTACAATATGAAACGCTAAGAGACAAAATGCCGTGAAGAAAAAAGCCCATTTTATCGCGCCGGTATACAGAAAACGCCATAAAGCAGTGCGTATACGGTAGAAGAGAAAAAAGTTAGAAAATAGTTGACGCGGCCGGCGCGCGCGTGAAACTTTGTATATTGTGTACGCACCGTGTGCGAGTTTATAGCCACAATAATTCAGCATCGTCTAATCCTTCACCCTGCGTCAAATGAATAGCCTAAAGTTGGACGTATTATAGGCGATTTTCAGATTTAAGTGTAAAGACTATTTTTCTTTCTTTCTTTTTTTCTTTCTCTCTGTCTCTTTTTCCCTCTGATATGCGCACACTTTTAAAATTCTCATTTGATTCTTATATTAAGTATATTTTTATTCGAGCCAGAAAAATAAATAAACTCTAAGACGATACTAAGTCGCGAACGTAAATGTGCGTCCAAGAGAGGAAAAAATCTCTCAAAGAAGGCCATATATTCGTAAACTTTATATCATACACAAGCACGCACACTCACATAAATACGATTGTGCCCGCGTCCGAAACGCTAAAAATATAACACGCACACATATATGCCGAATAAATCAGCATTTATATTTCGACGAATTCGATGTGTGCGCTTTATAATGTGCTGCACATGTACGCCGCATACCCGTATGTATCGCATGCAAGACTGAGTTTGAGAGAATCATGATGCCGCGGCGGCGATTCGAGCATAGATATTATTATGATATAAATGAAATATTGAAGTTATTGCATAATTTTAGAAAGTGCATTAAAAACTAAATAAGAGTCTAAAATCGTTGAATTTGCGCGCGGCACAAGTATAATGTACGCACCAGTCATATTTTTACGTAATTGGAACTCGTTATAACGTAACGCGCGCTGCACGTGTAGTGTTGTGTTGTGTATATATATGCGCGTTCGGTGCCCGCTTCGACGTATTCAACAGGCGGAATCGACGGTACGCGCCGCGTTATCATGATTTTGTAATAAATAATAATAACGAGATGCGGTATCGATGGATTTTCGCTCGCTTATAATGCACACACACGTTTGCACGCGCCCGTCGCGCGTTCACACGACCTGTCGACTTTTTCCATGGAAACGAGCCAGCCGCCGCCACTCGTTGAGTGTTGTTATGGGCGATGCATGCGCATACTCACACGAAGTTACTTAGAAGTTGCAGCTGGCCACCTCGGCCAAACGGCCAAGTTTAGTTTTGCTAAATACGTTCTGACAAATTTCTGTTGGGCCTGAAGTTGGCCGTTGCTTGATGACGATGCATCGATGGAGTAGCCCTTTTGTTTTTTGGCCAGTGAATTATCGGCTGAGTTGCTTTTTGTGACTCGTTCTTAATCTACCCCATTATAAAACGTCTCTGCGTAAAACCCTCGGTCTTACCCGAATAATTTATACCGTATTTATTTTAGATTTTTGAAGAGTTTTGAACATTCAAGTGGATATTATATGAATAAATCCAAGTCTCTTGTGTAGCATGTATTGAAGTTACAAACTTTATTGCATGAGATTCTAAGAAAGATTGAAATGTATACTTTTACGTCTGAATGTAACTCGAAAGGCTTTAACATCGCACGCCGCTCGGTAAACAATTATAATAATTACAATAACAAAACTTCTCTCGATTGTTATCGAAGGGTTTTGAAGTTCGAATTCTGAAGTCAATGCCGCGGCTACCCCGGGGAAGTTCAAATGAAGCAAAGTATCTGATTACCGACTCTTTTAAGCTCTCATACATATGGTAATTGGATGCGTCAAAGTATTCATGCACACATCTGAGAAAAAACTCAACTATACAATAATTCCTTATCAGACTTGATTCTTTCGCGCTTATGAGTGCACAAGAGGTGAGAAACCTGACAAGATTTGAAAGTCGCACAGCAGCAGCGGCTGTACATACTATACTGTCAAAGCTAAACGTGCGGTAATAACATATCGTGCCTCTATCCGTGCTCAAGGCCTCTTCTGTTTATGAAAACAAATGCAAGTGTAATTTTTATTATCGTATTCATCTATCTTATGCGTACGTACCTGTGTAATATGCGCAGTGAATAACATTTAAAAGCCATTGCAAAATTACTTTTTCCATCGTTAAAAAAAAGGAGTTAGCGTACACCTACATTGGTAATTGTGTATGTCATCGCAACAATCAAGAGAAAAGGAAACGGCAGTTGGCGCACCTAAAGCGAAACGGGTTAAGGTTTGAAGTGCCATCAGCTGGCGGGTATTGTACACTTTGACACAACTTATTTATATATGGATATATATGAAACTTATGTATACACACAGACTCGCGCACACACGAAAGCGACCGCATTTTTAGCTACACGGCACGCACATGTCATTTTCAGTAATAAGTAAGAAAGAGAAGGTTTCTCATGGCGTGCAGCGCTCATCAACTTATATTCCGTATCTGGGCTACATAATATGTTTGTGTGTTAAGCTATATTAGCGAAAAGATGTGTGTGCGTGTGTGTGTGTGCGCACAGTAACGGGATACGTCTTGTTGATATGCACATACGTACGCGCCAACGCAAAGAGAGTGAAAGAGATACTTGCAAATTTTGGAACTTGGGCTCGATTCTCTGTGACACTAGTCGTCAAAATTATAATTCATCAATTTTTTCAAAAATCTAGACAACTTCCGACTTTTTTCCATTTTTTCGCCTTCATCCGTGTGCTTTTGTTGAAAATTTTTTTCGAGAAATGGTCTTTAGAGTAAACAAGGTCAGCGTTGTGTTCGTATGTCTGTGTGTACGCGTATGACCTAATTTTTTTAAGTAATGATAAGTACTCTATACGTGCACACACATACCTTATAGCGAATACTGAATTTGGCTTCACTAGTCTATAGATTGTAGGCTAACAAGCTATTCTATATCAGCTAGGGAAAACATTTAATTGTCTCCCAATTTACCGTTGACTCATGAAATGTGCAAAACGAGTTTATGAGACACTTGCTAACATTATATGGCACAGGTGTACAGTTAATGCTATATATATAAATACCTACTCCAATGTAGACTCACACACTCTCACATACAAATATATACATATAATAATATAGAACTCTGTGTGACTTCTGCAGTGTTTTTTAAAACTGCTAGTGTCATGAAAAATTTTCGCGAGTGTTAAGGTTTGATACGAGTTTAACAACTTTATTGTTGCGAAACCTTTGTTGAAAAATTATTTACATTACAATATTTTATTTTAAATACATCGGCTTGTTCTTGCTAAGCTTTCCAAAAATTTTCTCACGTGATGTATATTAAAAATCCAAATCCCGTAGCGAGAAGTCAAAATGATTTGGTTACTCGTGAGTGTG